AGAAGGTTTAGGGCTGAATTTTTCATGGGAGCGTTTAAGCTGCCTCGTTACGGAAATTTTGAGCATCAAAGACGATCTGGGAAGACACATGTCTTTCTTTCAGGCGGGTGGCATGGCAAGATGCCCCAAAGCGATGTGTTTAAGGAAGGGTCAAGACATGGGGGCGGGAAAAACTTTTGCCTTCTGGATATCGGGTAGCACGGTCAAGTGCATGTAGTTTTAGCAATGCCAGATGGTAGAAACTCATCTAATGGGTGTTATCTGCCTCAGTCAAGACACAGATTTGCAAAACAAAAGAATACAAATGCAAAAAGTTGAACTTCGCACATCCACTTACTCATTGGTGAGGGCCTGCAAGCCCTTTTTCGTAAGGCGTAATCAGGCCGTTTTAGACTTCGTAATTCGTAGGCAGCCTCCGCAAAAATCAACGTAATTCGTAATTGGACATTAGGCCACACCAATTTAATTTGTTGGTTCTCGGATTCGCCTCTTCGTTTTTTTCTGATTTGCAAAAAAAATAAATTGATTCTGGTCCTGAATCAACTGAAAAATGCTCATGTTTTGCCCCCCAACAGTTGAGGAAAGTCCTTTCCTTCCTAGTTGTTACAGTTTTCCCATCTATCATTGCAGTGGTTTGATTAAAAGTTCAAAATTCAATGTTTAAATTTTAACCCAGCCTTTTGTGTTGACTTCATGGCTCATTTTGTAGCATTTAAGCCTATAATTGGATGCCTAGACCTGTTTTTATTTTTATTTTTTTTCGCCCTGTCGCTTCATATTTTTCTAAAAAAATCCGAGAACCAACAAATTAAATTGGTGTGGCCTTAGCCGCAAATCGTAAAGTCGTAATCAGCTCTGAGACTTTAACATAATTCGTAATAGGCGGCGAAAATTTTGCGTAATTCGTAATCACTACCCCCCCTTGCATGCCCTCATTGGTTGAACTGAGCACAGGTTTCGTTGGATGTTTGATCAATATTATGTTTCATCAGAATTCTGCCTGGTGCAGATGATATCTTTTCTGACATTAACATTTGAAAACTATATAGACGTGATATCATACCTATACAGGACCTTAAGCAAGACATTCTACCAAAGTGCTATGCACGATACATTGAACATCCCCTCATTTATTGGTTGAACTGAGCACAGGTTTTGTTGGATGTTTGGTCTATATTATGTTTAATCAGAATTTTGCCTGGTGCAGACTGATAATCTTTTCTCACATTAACATTTGAAAACTATAGACAGGATGTCATACCTATATAGGATCTTAAGCAAGACATTCTGCCAAAGTGCGATGCACGATACAATATGGGTTTCGTTCATGCATAGTACATTCTGCTGACATGCTGTTTAACTGACACTTTTGATAGATAGTTGTGAATGGTCCATTCATGATTTTTGAGGCAGGTACATATGTTGATGGTTATACTGGTGAACAAGGACATGATCCAGTCAATTCAATCTACACATATCATAGTTTATACGTTGTGGAGTCATAATAGGATATGTCATGTTGACAATAACATTAAAAAAAAGTGGTACCCTTATCTGACTGTGTATATCATTTGCAAATTTATGTACATGTAAGGCCACACCAATTTAATTTGTTGGTTCTCGGATTTTTTCAGAAAAAATATGAAGCGACAGGGCGAAAAAAAATAAAAATAAAAACAGGTCTAGGCATCCTATTATAGGCTTAAATGCTACAAAATGAGCCATGAAGTCAACACAAAAGGCCGGGTTAAAATTTAAATATTGAATTTTGAACTTTTAATCAAACCACTGCAATGATAGATGGGAAAACTGTAACAACTAGGAAGAAAAGGACTTTCCTCAACTGTTGGGGGGCAAAACATGAGCATTTTTCAGTTGATTCAGGACCAGAATCAATTTTTTTTTGCAAATCAGAAAAAAACGAAGAGGCGAATCCGAGAGCCAACAAATTAAATTGGTGTGGCCTTAGGGAGAAGGTTAGAACTCTACCGCTCCCAATGACAAAAGGGATCAGTATTCTCAAGGAGCATAACAAAAAGACAAATAAAAAGATCAAATATTAGACAAGGTGTCCTGTGGTTCTGACAATTACTTAGCAACAAGAGGTATCAAAAACAGAAAGACTATTCTCATGTGATATTATTATGTCCCATCAGCTATCAAGTGCCTTATTATTTAAGTTCCATCTTCAGAACTATAAAATGCAATAAAATAAAGGATTACATTCATTATACTACCCACCGGTATCACAGAATTGCAGCTAACCTGAAGGTAATTTGCTGCCTAATAAATCCAAAAAATATTCAAACTCATAAAGTACGGATAACTGCTAGCAAGGGCATGAAAACAATTATGGTACCATTTTGACTTCACAAATGAAGCCCCCA